TTTTTTTTTTTTTTTTTTTTTTTTTGGTGGGGGGGGGGGGGGGGGCGGTGGGTGGATTAAGGCAAAGCCAGGTCTGCTTTTGGGCCAGGGGTGCATTGCTGAGGGACAAAGACACACAATGAGTTTAAACTCCTTGCGCAAAAGGCAGGAAATCCCCCCAGTTTTGCAAGGTATAGGTTGATCCACCAGGCTGTGACAAATAACTCCCTTAAGCAACAGCGTCCTTTCCTTGGATCCACCGCGGAAAGCTTGGAAACGTGACGCGGGGCTAGCGGGCGACTGAGATGGTGGCTGAGGAAGCTCCTCGTGGGCCCGAGGGGGCGTTTGAGGGACGGAGGCCAACGCTCAATGGCGGTTTCGGGGGCGGCGCAACCGCCCGCGCGGCGCCGTCTCCGGGGCGACGGCGGCCGGCGGGGCGAGAGATAAGGGGGGATAAGAGATAAGAGGAGATACAGAGAAGAAAAAAAAAAAAAAAATGCGTAGTTGTTCCTCAAGGCAGGAGGGCTTCCTATAGTGCATCTAGGCAAGCACGAGGTGCCCCGTGTGCCTCAGAGTGCCGCCGTGCCCAAGAAACGTGCAGTTGAGGTGCTTAGGGACATGGTTTAGCACCATGGTAGCGATGGGTTACAGTGGGACGTGATCTTGAAGGTCTTTTCCACCCATAATGATTCCGTGATCTCATGTTTCCATTGCAGGTCCATGCAAGGCAGGATCGCAGCGCAGGCTTTCAGCTTTGACCAGCCATTCAAGCCCTATCTGAAGGATGACTTTGTTATGGTAGCTCTCATTCCCTTATGTTTGAATTTGCTCTTTTTCTATGAAATTATAGCTATTGGAAACCTGTGCAATGGAAAATATTGCAGCAGTGTTTGCGTGCTGCTTTGGCGTAGCCTCCTCGCTGTCCTGCTGGAAGTAGGTGATTTAGGTGTGGTGCTCCAAGCCTTATTTTGTGGATTAGCTGCATTGTCCAGGGAAAATATTTTAGTCTGTACTTATGTTTCCCCCTTTCACGAGGGAACAATTCAGCCATTCAAGCACAAGAATGGGAATCTTGCCTGGATGCTGATCTTGGCCACCACATTTAATGATGGGAAGTCCACACAGGGATACGTGCAGTTACTAAGCTTGGTAACAGCTATTCTGGCTTTGGCACAGTAATTAGACACACAATATACCACACTTCTGAAAATGCAAGATTTTTTTAAACATACTGTGCCGCATTATTTTATAGCAGAATTGTGGCTTCTCCTCTTTATGAGACTCAGGTCGCCTACTGGCTTCTGTTCTCCATTTTTGTTGACTGCAAAGTCAAATGTGCTTATCTAGTTGAAGGGGAGAAAAATATTACCTGTAGTTTTAAAAACAGTGAATCTTTCTCTTTTAATTTCTTCTATGGATATTTTATGTTGTTATCCCAGAAGAAGAATTCAGAGTTCCCTGTGTGAATTCACTTGATATTTTAAATAAATTAATCAGAAAACATTTTAAATGATTGAAGTTTATTAAAAATGCATTTGCCATCTCAAGGCTTGTCCCTTTTGAATTAGAAACATAAAATATCAGTGTGAAACAAAAAACTGAGTAGCTGAGATTCACTTGAGAATAAAGAGACCATTACGTTACATAGTCTGTCTGTATTCCAGAGAGGTGATGCAGAGACTTCATAGAATCATAGAAAATTTAGATTAGATTCATACTTTGTATTTCATTTTGAATTCAACAGCATTGCATACACAAGTAGAAAAATTGCTTTATCTCCTTTATTCTTTTTAAAACTCCAAAGTTTTCAATCATTCTCTGCATATTCTTTAGTATTTCACTATAAAAACCTCACATTGCATACATAAATCATAGAATCATAGAATTGTTAAGGTTGGAAGGGACCTCTAGAGATCATCTAGTCCAACCCCCCTGCACACACACGGTCACCTAGAGCACGTGGCACAGGACTGCATCCAAGTGGGTTTTGAAGATCTCCAGAGAAGGGGATTCCACAACAAAAATATTTTGAATGTATAAATAGAGAGATTGGCTACACCAAGTTACAGAAACATGTATTGAGTGGTATGATACTTTTTAGTTATACAAACTAAAAAGTCTACTTACTAATAGGATCCTTATAATTTGTTTTAAAAGTATAGAAAGCAGTGTATGATGATTGTATGTTTGTGACTTCATTAACTCTTTTCTCTTATTTGAATTTTATAGGCCTTTTTTAAAGATCAAAATGTGATCTCCAGTTTAAAGTTGCTCTCAGCTTCAGGACAATGGACTACATTGGGTAAACATTTATTTAGAATTAATTAGTATTAAGGAAGAAAAAAAATATGTTGTAACTGTTCTAGCTTATTTTGCAATAAAGGTAGTGCATATATCCATATCTTCATCTGCTTGAATTATCTTGAGGAATGACTCCTTTTATTAAGCAATAGGAAAAGATTCGTACCTAGTTTGTTACTAAAATGTCAAGCTTTACATTTTTTTCTTCCTCCCCCCCCCACCTCCTCCCCTGAGACCCATATTGATCCATAAGTCAAGCTACTGGAAGTGTGTGAAAATGATCTAGGACATTGACATGGTCATGTTGTATCCGGAGATAAGCAGCCGTGCAGTGTTCATGGAACTACCTTATTCACAGATGTTACTGGCAGAAAGACACTCCTCTGTGGGTGCATCTGCACTACTTAGAGCAAACTAAAAATGTTACAAATTGAAGCTGAGGGAGCAGAAGATGAGGTCGAGCACACTCCTGAGATTGCCTAAATACCCTGTCTGTACAGCAAGAACAACTTGCTGCAGGAAGAGAGCCATGGAATAAGTCGCTCTGTTTATAATCATCATAAGGATGACTTCTCATTCGTTGTCATATCATTAACTGCTTGTAACATTTGGTTATGTTTGTAGATGCAGATGACTCATTAAAAGAAAAAAGTACCAAGCAGAAATAACATGTTGAGCTTGTGGCATCACTTTATAATTGCATTTTTGATTCTGTTAATGAGAGTTAATTTTCATGCAGATTGTGTATGATAATGTAATGGGTTTTTATGCATAATACAAACTCTCACATCACCACATCACCACATAGATTTTAAAAGGGCAGTGTGGGAATCCCACAGTTTTTTCAGTTTGTCTGTGAATAAACTTATTGCATGTAAATATTTAATTAAGCTTTGGGAATTACTTTTCCATTTCTACTCTGGAATTGGCATGAGTATTCCCCACTGTATGCTGTGATGTGAGGCTTTGCCAACATTTGCAACAGAATCTGTTTTCCTGAGATGCTGTATCGGGATGTTAAAACTATAGAGACAGAGAAGATGCAAAGAATATTTCTGCCTCAAGTTTCCTCTCAGATGCCTCTTTTTCATTCTGGGACGCAAAAAGAAATTCATTTCAAAGCATGGACAACCCTTTTTCTTTTCCTGCTTTGTACAAGAATCTTAGACTATCTGTCTAGCCTGTGACTTGCTGGTGCCTATAGTGAGAGAGGTCAGTAGGTTACATACCTCGTGTTAAAAGCAAAGGGTCACCTGCCAAGTATCTCAGCTTCTTAACAGCCGATTTTCCTGAATCCATATTAACACAAAGGTAAAGCATTTTATTCCGAGGACTGGAAGGGCTCCCTCTCTAAATCCTGAACAGCTGGTACACCCCATTTGCTCTTAAAATTTCATCTTCCCATTCTTTGCCTATTTTGGGTGAGGAATGTTGGCACATTTTTCTATACTTAGTCTTCATGTGCATTTTTTAAAAATATAGTAAGAATAAGCTTTGAGTGGGAGGAGGTACAAAATCATCCTCCAGTATTTTCTTCTGAGGACATTTTGTTAATCCACATAGCTGTTTACTTGTTATTAAGAGTTACTCTCTAGTGACAAGTTTCTTTTCTGGCAAGGCGATAGTGAAAATGGGCTTACTTTGCTTTTAAAAAATCTAAAGAAATTGACATAATGTAGAATTCAAATTAATTCTCTTGCAAACAATAATATGTATATATATATATATATTTCTACAGGGAGAGGAATTCAGGATGCATAGTATAATGATAAGTGGGGTATAGGTAGATTTTTAAAAAGCTCATTCTCCCCTCTCTGTGAGGAGAGATAACTGTATCACAAAGCTGTTATCTATCTAGTAAGGTGCTATCAGCATAATATAACGGATCAGTTATATTATTACTATATATATATTACTTTACTAGGGTGTTTAATTTCATAATCCTTTTGTTTTCTTTTGTTTTCTGCAGGCTGCAGTGCATTTTTCCCCCTAACTAAAATGATAAATTATCTTTCTTTAGAATCCAAGTGGTCCTGTTTTCACTTTCACGTATATTTCTACCTCTTCCGTTATTGCTGATCTCCTTTCCCTAAAGTCTATGTTTTCTTTACCACTTTTTTTTCCTCTTTCTTATCTCTTCAGTTTTGTTCTTCTCTTTATTTTCACCTTTTTATCACACCATTAACGTCCTCAGTCACCATCCCTTAGATCAAAAGGTGGCATAAAACTTGAGTTTCTTGAATCCACAATAGGACCTTGTCTAAGGGACTCCAGCTTTAATAGAAATTGAAATGCAACATTTTAAGTAAAGAGCACTCTGGGATATTCTTCTGCTTTATTTGATTATACAAATACTTTGTTTTATTGCCCCTCCTCACATCACTTTTTTTTTTTTTTTCCCCGTTGTTGTCTTGGTTGCTTCCCAGAGTACCCAACAGTTCTGTCATCGTGCTTTAAGGCCCCCTCTTCCTCACATTTTTCTAAAATAGAGACAGCAAAATGAACATGGTTTGATGCATATCAATTTACATATTAAGTCTTGCATTTTAAAATAGCTACAATGAAACGTAAATAGCAGTTTTTCCTTTGACACATCACTGGCCTTGCACCTGTCAGCAGCTGCAGGGAGGCAGGACTGTATCTGCTTAGACTCAATTAACACTTGAAAAGTTATCTTCAAAGGCATAAGGATACTGTCTTTTTGTGTAAACAGAAGTTTAGTATTTGCTTAAGAAAGGCTCTTAGTCGCAGTATGTGCTTCAAGCTCCCATGACTGCTGTCTTAAGGTTTAAAAATCTTAAGTCAGCAAGTTTTCTAGCCTGCTGTTGCAGGTTTTCATTTGCTAAAATTTTAGATATCATTTGTTATAAATTGGTGTTCCGTACATTTTACTTTAAAAACCAGTGTTTTTAATGCCTCAGCTTTAAACTTGCGTTGTATATGTTCTGTGTTCAATTGTTTTTTTAAATAGTAGGTTGCAGGAGATGTTCCCAATGAACAATTTTTCCTTAAGCTTAGGAGGAATTTTCTTGGTTTTGTTTGTTTGTTTTCTATGTTTAAAATACAGAGCTGACAGCTTAGAAGTAGAGAGGAGAAATGAATGTCATTTGGAATTCAGTTCCCCATCCTTGTTTAAAAGCCTTCTCTTACAGATATTCCAGAACTAGCTGTTGCACAAAGTTCTGCTTCAGTATCTCAGCTCTTTGTTTTCCCCTCGCACACTTGTCGCTGTGTTGTTGAGACATTACTTCAATTTTATTGCTCACTTCTGCAGCGTTATTAGAACTGGTTACTCTTTTCAGGAAATTCTGAATCTCAACTTCCCCACCTCACCTCACCTCTGAAATGGAGCATAGGAGCTTCCAGCACATTCAAATGTTTCTATTTTACAGTTTGCTTTTTAAAACTACTCAATATATAACAGAACTCTTGATTGATCTTTCCTGATGGAAGGTTTCATAAAATCTTGCTTGGGAGCAGAATGTGTCTCCTCCTCCCCCTCCTTCTTCTCTCCAAATAAAATCCTAACAATGTGAAGCGCTATAAATAGCTCTGAATTTCTTATATTTTCAGCGCAATAACTGGAAAAATGTTAATATGTCCTTTGTTTCAGGTCATTTAGCATCAGGTACTATTAATCTTGAATCAGTTTTTGACTCTCGGTCTTTTCCAAAATCATTCCTGTGTTAAAGGCTGATTCAGTTCCTATTAAATCTTTATGAAATTTCTATTTATGTGAGGGAAAGTCTGACTGAGAGCTAAAAATTAGAGGCATCTTGGGATAAGGGAGTGGGACGAAATACAAGCAAATAAAAAAACACCTTTTTTTTCCCCTAAGGTTTTGGGCTCCAAGTCATGTTTGTTCTGACTTGTTATTTTTATTTTATATTTTGATTATTTTTGATCGTTATTGTGTAGACAGCTAAGAGAATGTCCTATACAATTTCTTGGATAACAGGCACCCTTCGCCAGAGGCATATGTGTAAATGTGAAGCCAAACAATTAAAGAGCATGCTTTTTCCTATAATTGATTTTCTTAGCATCATATTTTCCCAATAAATTAGTTTTAAAATTTCATGTCAGCATTTTCAGCTTAAGTACGAGCACAATTTGTAGATTCCTTTATTTTCTTATTTTGTCTTAAGAGTGATCACATGTTTGCCCAGGTTTAGATATCAAAATGGCAGCTGACTCCATTTATGAATAAATGATCTCTGTGTAATAATATGTGGGAGAAATCGTAGGAATTTGGGGGAGTGCAGGGAAGAGAAATGCTAGGCTATACTGTGCTTGCTGATATTAAAATGGAATATCGGAGATTTATGCTCTTGGAAGCATTATAGTGTGTACATCCTTTTGACATGTTTCTCTTCCTGAAATCTTGTCCTATAGGGTGAAATTAAAACTCCTTCAGATTATTAGTCTTCAATTATTATTTTTAGGTCAGTTTGGCAGGAAACTGATTAATTTTATGTTTAAGTATACAGTCAGCAGCCTTTCGATATTGTGATGTTGTGTCCCGTAGAGGGAATCTACATGGAACAAAAGGTAATCTCATGGAAAATGGGATTTTCAGGACTGTTATCTCTGCAAAGCTGCACTGAGCTACCTTGTGCCCTCCCTTGCACTCGGGTTCTCCCTCTTTCTCTCTCTCTCTCTCTCTGTGTCTCTCCCCACTCTGTTTGGAAACAGAATTGTGTCTGTTTTTTAAAAGCCTTAAATCCCGTTTTCACTTTGTGAGGAGTTAGTAGCAGTTAGTGACTTCAGTACTCGGGTCCAAATGTGGTTTTCTCCTCAGATTCTTTCAGGCTTAAGTAGTGGAATTGCAATGTTCTAAGGTGTGGTGTTGAGTTTCAGCACGTGTTTCATCTGTTATTTGTTTTGATTGATAGCATTACCAACAGAGGGAGCAAATGCGTGAGCCTTAACGTGAGGCAGCGTTCAGATGTTCTAGCCTTTCCTTTGCCCTTGTTGCTCTCTTAACTTTCTTTCTTTCTTTGGTTTTTTTTTTGTGATTAAACATTGTGCCTATGTGATCTTTATTTTTTTAAGAATATACCACACACAGTCATTTAATGAAGTTAATTATTTTGGCACTCTATCAAATTATGAATTGTTATGAAACCATTAGTACCTGAAAATCCTGCTGTTACATTTTACAGTACAGACTTGAAGTGAAGCCTGTCTATTATATTCCAGGTTCCAACGTGATAAAAGTTGAAGCTACAGTAGTGCCCTGTACACAGATTTCAATGTCATTTTTTGATCGTTTGTACACGGAAGGAGTTGTTAGAGAAACTGGACATATTGTGAAATGCTATGATGACTATTATGATGGTATTATCATCTCTGATGAGTTAAGGAAGGTCAGTAAAGCGCACAATTATTTCTTGTAAATGTTCATACTCTGGTACTGTCAGGACACATTGTTCAGCATTTTTTTTCTTTTGATATATACTTTTCAAGGTAAAAATCGTGCTCTATAGCCATGTGATATAAATAACTGTCCAGTTCCCAAGTGTGTCAAGACAATTGTTATTTTTCAGTTGGTCCCACTTTCTCCTTAGGTGGGGGGAAAGTTAAAAGCGTCTCCTGGTCACCCTTTTCATAAGTAATCACTAACTGTAAAGAAAAAAAATGCAACTCATTTTTTTGCCTAGGAGGTGAAAACAAGAGGTTTCAGTGGAAAATTGAAAAACTCGAGGCTGCAGGTTCACCTGCAGGTTCTGAATAGTTCATAAAGTTGAAGGTGCTCAATAGCTACATCCTGAAGCTTTCCTCACCAGGATCACGTGTGAAGGTATTTGAGGAAAGGCACCTTCCTATATTTCAGACTGAAACAAGGCGAGGAAACTATGAAAAGGGAAATTACTTTGAAGTGACTACTGAAAGAGGACCTTAATTTTAGGGGTCTTTTGGAGGTCTATGTAAGTAGCTCGAGTTTATGATAGTAAACAAGAGACATGCTTTTTCTGTTGATTTCATTCTTTAACGATTGTCTCCCCTTATGCTTTAATGATGTTTAACTGAGTGTATTTAGTGGCGTTCACTTTCAGGTAATGTAAGCTCCACTAAATACAACTTCCTGAACAGGCCTGTGAGGTAGTAGTTGTCTGGTATGTTCCAGTGGAGGTGTTGGAGAGCAGATTATTTTGAAAAATAACCTTGCGAGAAGTGGCACCTTCTTAATCAACATGTCTTCATCCTAAGTGTTTCTTTTGACTTCACAAACCCAACCAAATTCTTATTATTTATGTTTGTTTAGCATTAGCAAGGCATAGGCTGGGAGAACTGGATTTTGCTCTTCCTTGTATATATAATCAGCAGAAGTACTTAATAATTACAGAGTTGCACTCATTTGCACTTGGCAAACCCTTTGAAGACGATGTATGTGAGCAGGCAGTGACACTGCTTACAGCGTGAGGCTTGAAAAACTGGTCTGTCTTGTGAAGTTCTGGGAAAAGGACAGAGCTCAAACTCGTGTTTGTCGCTCGGACTTGGTTTGCAGGCTAGCTGTTCAAAATACTATGTATTTACTTACAAATTGGGTATATATTGGATTTTTTTAATTAATCAAATTAAATATTTGATGTGAAAAGTAAGAGGCAACACTTAAAATGATATCATTAGGGTTTTAGTCCCTGTTCATTTGAAAGTTGAAGGAAAGTGGAAGTTTCATCTGAAAGTTGAAAGAATGTTCATCGATTTGAAGTGGACATGATTCCCAGTCATAAGGCTTAAGATGGCAGAAAGAATTTGGCGTCACAACCCCCTCCAAGCTGCCTCCAAGCTCTAGGTTGCCTGGTCAGCGCCCCGGCCGGGCAGGCTGCAGGGGGCAGCAGACTCTCTAGTCTATTTCTGTCACAGAGTAGGGGGCAAAATTTACTTCTTTTTCCCCCCTTTTGCTATGTGTTCACCTTGGTTCCACCAAGAGGGGGATTGAGATATGTGTGAGGAGGCCAAACACGGCATTAAGCTCGAATCTCTTTCTCCCACTTGCATCTCTCTGTGCTGGTGTATCTGCTGTTTGGCTGATGTGACTCAGCCGTTTCATAAATTATTTTCAGATTACTGGTAGTTTCACTAGCAGGATGAACCAATGAATTACAAAGCTCTTGTAAAGTCTTCCATATCTTTTGTGGGCACAGATCTGAGAGCTGATATTTCTGCTGTTAATATTTTATATTGTACCTGTAAAGTGTGAACATGTTATTAATTGCAGCATTGGGAAAATAAGGTCTACTTGGAGAGAAGTGTTCATCTATTTCCATTCTGTTTCGTATATTTTATATGAACCTAAACTCTGCTTAACATATAACAAATAAATAGCTGTATTGTTTATGTATTTAATGGCAAATCAATTATTTAGATATCACATAGCTATCTGACCTTTTTATTACATTCTTGTTCCATAAGGTCTTGCTTCTGGAAGATTCAGACCATTATGACTTATTCAGTCAGTCGGATCGCCAGGAGTTTCTCTTTTGCCTTTTTAAGCATCTTTGCCTTGGAGGAACTTACTGTCAGTTTGAGGATATGCTTGGCCCATACTTAGAAACCACAAAAGCTTTATATAAGGACTTGGTAAGGTAAGTGTTTTCTGATTTTGTGCCGTTACATATGTCTGTGCTGTGCGCTTGGTGTCCATTTGTGTAAGTGCTGTGCATTACTGCTTTGGAAATAGGGATGCTTTTAATCAGTCTTCAAGCTCATTTATTTTCAGGTATTAATCTGTAACAAAGATAGCACTTCATTGACAAAAAAAAATGTACATTTTTAATGGCAACTGTTCTGACTAAAAAGATTCTACTGTATTACAGACATGGTCCCTGCTGTTTCATAATTCATTCCCATTTTAGAGACTTTTGTTTCTGAAATCCTCTACTGAAGATGGGGTATGTTACTGGAATTAGACTGTGTTCAATTGTCATTGATATAATTTCAACTATTGGTCTCTGTGTGTGTGTGTATGGACCATTTTTAAACTTTTGATTAAAAAAAAATATTTTAGTTGTTTTTTTTATCTTTAAATATTTTATTCCACTTTTTTAAAAAAAAAAATTTGGATTTTGCCATTCTCAAGTCAAGAAATAGTGCAGTGACACATGCAGCTTAAATCTAAGGGGGCAGAATCTGACTGTTAACATGACATAGAGGATTAAAACATTTTTGGCCCAGTCTGGTGTATGGAACTGTCTGGAATTCATTTATTTTTGGTTAAGATTAGAGGCAATTGACTGTGATGGACAATTCAGAAAAAAAGGCTATTTTTTTTTCTGTTTAGATATACACATATGGTAGAGTTCTCACAGTTAGAGGTAAATGTAGTGTAATTAAAATGTATAAAGATTCAGTCCTAGCTGAGCAGACAAGAATATAAACGTCATCAACAAATTTACTAAAATTTAGTGGTATACTTTGCCACCTATGGTAAGTATAGGTAGTGATAAGATAAAGTATAGTATTAGCTTGAGCAGTGAGAGTAGTAATAGACCTCAGATACGTGGGATAGTACAAGAACTCTGATAACACCAATATGAAGGGATGCACTGAAATGTGCGATACAAAGACTGCAAAGTTCTTAAGGTAGAAATTGTTATTTTCTTCTCCCTCAGGCATATTTGGTGTGCTGGGATTATCCGTTGTTTTTTCATCTCCTGTTTTAAGACAAGTGAATTTAAAAAAGTCCTGTGCAAGTTATATTCATTGCTGAGTTTCTTTTTTAAATGTCTTTGGATAAACTTAAGAGAAAAACTTAAATGTTTGAACAAAGATATGGTAGAAGAACCAGATCCAGCAATTCCTGCACACTTGAGTATTTCCTGACTTGTGTAGCACTTGTATAAATGTAGCTTGCTGTATCCAAACAGAATATAAAACTCAGAATAGTTGGCTCCCTTTTAGGATTTTTTTGTAATACTTCAGCAAAGAAGTTTACAAAACTTCAATTACCTCAAAGCAGCTTCATATTTTCTAATTGTCCGTGCTTTTCAGGGTGCAAGTTGTTTCAGTCCTATGCTGTTTTCCAGGGTCATCTAAAATCAGTACTTAAAGTAGAACAGCTTATACAAAAAAAAAAAAAAAGCATAAAGTCATTCAAAGAAAATTTTAGAAATAGCTAACTTGTATTGCTGCATTTATTAATGTGGATATTATGATTAGTCACCAGTGATTTCTTAATAGTGTGAACGTCATCTTTGGCATTATCATAATATATGAGAGAAATCCAGTGCATTCTTCAGAAATGTATAATATAACTGAAAAATAATTTATCAATTCATCACTAAGTCTCCCTTTCCTTTTAAATAATTCGCTCTGCACTTGAAACAAGCTGTTTGCTACTCTAATCCTTGGCCTTCATTCATTCTGCATTGACTACAGCTGTTTCTGATCTTGTGTTGTTAAATGACCTATGACAAATGCCAAATCTAATCACTTCTTTTACTTTCTTCCTTTCTTTTGCTATTTTTCCCCTATACAGGTCAAAGCCTTGTTCCGAAACACTCTTCCTTTTTGCTTTTGTAAACCCTACAATATAACCTAATCGGAATATTAAGGAGCTTGCATCTGCCAACATTTTTTTTTTGTGCTGGCTTTTTATTTCCTTTATATGTTATCAGAAGAAAACCTTTCAAGGTCCATTAAGTTTTTTTTTCCCCCACTTGTCAGTTTTTTTCTATTCTCCGAAGTTTTAAAATACATCTATTCACTTCAGCAGATACAACTAATCATCTGCCCTGTACCTCTCCCTTGCCTGCATTGTCTCTTGTTTTCTCACTGACTCGTGATGGGAAAAGCTCATGACAATTTATCTCAAGCTTTTAACTTGCTCACTTGACATAAAGTTATTTGACAATCCCGTGAGAAAAGTTTTCAATCTTGATGTTCTGCTACCAGCCTCCTGGGAGAGAGAAAGCCCGTGAAGGGAAAAGCAGTGTGACTCTGATGAGGAACTCTCATGCCACAGGCTTGACTTAGTTCATTTCTAATTTCTGGTCCATGCTGTGCACTGTAACACTTCATTTTTGTAGAAATTACAATAAAGCAAGGAGCAAGGCCTCTTATTTTCTGTAAACTTTTGCACAGGACAATAATGGTCTCCAGAATTAGGATGATACTCCACCTTCCATTCTACCTTCCAATTCCAGTTGAAAACTGACTTTTCCTTAAATTCTTCTGTTCTAGACTGCTATCCTGTGTCTGGCTCCTTTTCATCGTGAATTCTTAAAGCAGTACTTCAGAGTTTTAATTTTCAGTCATGAGCTTCAAAATGCTTGGTGAAAAGTGGACAGTACAAAAATTATTACCTGCTGGCTGACAGGTACTAAAACACTAGAGTCCCTGCAGATGAACTTGTTCTACATGATATGCTTATAAGATATAAAACAGCAATATCTGCTTCCATAACAGTTTTTTTTTTTTTTTGGCAAAAGACCAGTCTTAAGCATGAAAAGCTCTACAGGAGTCTCTCTGATGCCTAGAGTGGCAGGCAACCTTTTATGAGCTTTTTCCGACTTCCCTTTCTTACAGTTTCCTGATAGTTATTCCTCAGTTCTAACTCCAAGGCACTTAAGATAAAAATAAAGCCAAAAATCTTGACATTTCATTTTATTGAAGCATTTCCATGTATGCAGCTTAATCACGAGAGAATCCAATAACTTTTTGAAATTAACTTTTCTAGATATATTTACAAACACACCTAGAGAATTCCAAAGCAAACTATTACATTTTACTTTGTAAAAAGACTAATTATTACTTTGTAAAGTATTTGTGCACAACTGGTTGTCTGTTACTAAGTCAGTAGTAAATAGTTGAATCTATCCAAAATCTGAGCATGCGATGTGTTCTACATAGTCAAAACCATTTAAAAATACTGTAATATTTTTCGCTTATTTAAAGAATCTATTTATATGACAAAACATGTTAAAATGTACTGTATGAATCGTGGTGATCTCCTAAATTGATAACTCTGTCTTCTATACTTAACACCTGATTTTTTTTCTAAGGGTGTCTCTGCAAGACGACAGCTGCCTCATAAGGCATCTTGTGCTCGCTGTTCTCCTTCCTTCCATGTTGCCCACACACCTTCTACACACCCTCCTCTTTAACAAATTAGTTTACCTGAAGACACTGATTGCTCTTTTTGTGTTTGCCTTCCCCTTTAACAAATTAGTTTACCTAAAGAAGACACTGATTGCTCTTTTTGTGTTTGGAAAGCTTGATAAAACATTGCAGGTGAGGTTAGGATGCAAGTAGAACTTGGAGTGAATTGAAAGAAAAAAAGAAAATTTAAGAAAAAATTCTTGTCCTTAGAAAAGTGGAAATGCAGATTATAATGATAAAGGAACTTCCATAGTCAATTGGTAATATAAGAAAGAACAATTTGGAAGAACAAAGAGGGATATTATGATTTTTAATGGAGTATTAACCTCATCAAGAAGAGGAGTTTTTTTTTCTAAAATTTTAAGGAAATTCAGCAAAAAAAGTCACATAAAAAGGCAAAATCCTGGTTTCCATCAAGTCAACAAGAAGAGTCTCATCTGATTTTGTCAGATATACTATTCTGCCCTAACAATTGAAGTAGGTGAAATAAACATTCAGTCTGAAAAGTGGTTTATGGGAAGCTAATCACAAGGCATTTTTTTCTTAATTTCTAAGCAATGAAGTAAATACAAAGACATTCTCTGACACCCATTTCCTTGGTATCCTAGGTATATCCTATACATAATAGAGAAAATAAGAAGCTAGAAATCAAAAGTTGTCATTTTTAGACCAAAGAATGCGAGTCCAGAGTGAGTTAAACACAAGTGTAGCTTTTGAAAGGGCTGATAGAGGGCAGAAATAGTCATCCCGCTGCCTCTCTCCCTTGCTCTGCAAGTTGTCATTCCCGGCAGGGAGGTTAACCAGGTTCTGAACTGCTGCCGTTTACAGCCCTGTGGCTCAGCATAAACCAGCATCCACTTGAGTTTATCTCAGTACTGGGCTGTGAAGGGCAGTGGCCCAGGAGCTGAGTCACGAACCAGTTGAGCTGTCCCTGCTGGGAAGGCAGCAGCTGGGGCCACTACCAGTTTCAGCAACGCTGCTTTAATCCACCGTGGAGCATCTCTGTATGTGAGCTGCAAAGATCAGCTTCACCGCGCAGGCTTAAGGAGAGTTCATACATCCTGTCACTGCAGATGAAATCAGTAAATCATAAAGTCAGTGTTTTGACTGGGAAAAGAGATTGAATTGACAAAAACTAAGATGGTTAACTGAGGTTTGTCTGCTCTTGGTACAAAAAGCAACTTTGCAAAAGCAGTGGCACTAGGGGACTGCTGTGATAGGCAGCCTGGAGCACTTGTGCTAACATGTGTCCTCTAGCCATTTGACTATGTCGGACCCTTCCTAGAAAGTGAACCTGTTTATTGTAAGGAGTATGGAATTTATAGGGCTCAGCTCTTCCATGGTACGTTAATGAAATGAGGAATCATAAAATAAATACATTGGTAGATGTTACATTATATAATTCATGAAGAAATGTAAGCATCACTTAAGAGCAGACCTGGGGAAAAATGAGACATACAAAATATCTAAATATAATATGTGTTGAGATGTCTGGTCAGTGTGCAATAGTGTCTTAGCATACTAGTAATTATGGTGGAAGAAATAGCATTTTTCACAGCAATCACGGTCTAAAAATATAATGATTTAGTAATCGTAATATCATACTAAGAGGCAGAAAAAATCATCTTAAAACATAATCATATATTAATTAAAAATAAACTATCATATGCATTTCTTTACCAGTACTGCTGCTACTTCTTCTGGTCTTCAGTATATGCCATTCGGTCATAGTTTTTTTTTTTCCTCAAAGAATGTGTAAAAAAATAAGAAAAATATTTTAACAAAATGTTTAGCTAGATCACTTTCATTATATATGGAAGTGCAAACTTTACGCTGGAGTCACCCAGGCCTGGTAATATTGGTTTGATTTAGTAGTTGAAATCAGTAAATCAACCCAACCCAGATGACTAGATATATTTTCATTCAATAGTTTCAAGTAAAATATTACAATATCTGTGTTATCTGGGACTGATAACGCAGCTTTTCATGGTTCATGTGGAGCAAGTTGAACGTTAACTGTTAGCTTGATCATGGCAAAATTTGAGCAAGCGTATAGTGCACTTTAATTATTGAAATGGAGGACTCTAATATTTGTGGTGTAAATACTAAGCTTGTGTTATTTCCCTGTATTTCAGTGTTCAAAAGAATCCAGAAACAAAAGAAATAAGCATTACTTCCACTGTCTTCAGGGTGTCTGCATATGTAAGTACTACCCATTTTTGGTACAGCATTTTACTGGAAGTAACATGCATAACGTGAAAATAATGATTTGAATTAACATTTGCACAAAGAAAGCTTAATATTCATTTCAAATGGGTTATTTCTACAAATTTGTAATCATTCTTTATTCTTGAACCCTCTTCCTGGTCTCATCCTGCTTTCGCTCTTTAGCAACAGTTTTATTTTGTAGCTCACTAAAAACAGGTTAGTTGGATTGCATTTGAAGTCATCATAGTTATCCAGAAACTAGTTATGAAAAAAGTAGTTCTGAGTAATTCTGTTTATATAGGTACATGAAAGAGAAGAAAGGATTAAGAACCCAGTCTTGACTGTAATTCTGTTTTTAGAAATGTTTTTAGAGAGCTTTCTGAATAGTCTCTCTGGCATTTGGCTCTGCAAGGCAGTTCAGTACACAAAAGAGTTAGAATGGTGAGATGAACCTCTCCCTTCTCAAGTCTTGTTTCTGTGTGTTTTTTCTTGCAAAACCATGTATTTACCATGAGGAAGAAGTTGAGAATGGGCAGCATGTTTACTGGATTCAATGTATCTGTCATTTAATTGCTACTGTAGGCTGAATTACTCCTAATTCTTCCTAAGTAATCAGTATATAATAATTACATCAGATAATGTACCACTTCCAAAAGAAACAGCTGATGTCACTCAAACTGCACAAACTTCCCCGTAACTTGCCAATAGCTCAGTTGTTCATCTGTGGGTCATCATCATTTAACATGTGATTCATAGAAGACTCAAAATGTTTTCTAAAAATGACTAATTCATGGATGTATCACAATTTACCTCAATTTATTAGGTTGCAGGCTTCAGATTAAAAAAGAAAGATAACTTAGTATTTTTCTGGTAATACTTTTTTTCCTGAGACATTTCTGGATCACTAATAGATTTGCATCAACTTTGTGGACTTCTGTATTTAGGTGTACTTGTTAGTTAAGAGCTTCCCTGTGTCTGTCATACATTGAGTATCATCAGATAAAAAACAAACAAACAAACAAAACACCAGGCAGCTTTGAGCAACATTTTGAAAGCAAAGAAGTAGATGGGCAAAAGAAAATCCAATGCAAACACAGAACATGCCATCTCTATAGCCTTTGAGGAAAAATAAGGCTTTACTGCCAATTCTGAAAAGTGAAGAATTCTGAAAATCTCTTTTTCACTAAAGGACATCGTAAAGCATCTTCTCTTAGAAAAGAGTTTATCCCAAAGACGTGCTCAGGCTTAACGTGAGGTTACTTCAAAATGAAAGGTTGCAATGGGTTTGTCTGGATTGTGTGAAGGTTTTAAGAATCAAAACTCCCAAAACTCTGTTGGGAAGCTACAGGAATGGCACTTACTGCAACAAATGTCCTGTGTTTCTGATGAGAAGTCCCTCTAAAGAAGACAATTGTATTTCTGCAGTAGATGCAGAGGGTTAATTTGGAAAATACCTAGAGTGTGTTAAGGGAGTCTTGATGCGGAGGTGACAGTGCACATGACAGTGTATTTTCTTAGTCTGAAACGGCCACGAGTCCTTGGTCTCACATAGAAAAGGGGAAGCTGTTCTGGTGAAAGTTGCTTGACTGTCAGCTAGAAAGTGAGAACCACTTTCTGTTTATTTTGTCTAACTATGGCTAAGATGACCTTATTTAGGAAACAATATAAAAAAACAAACAAACAAACAAAAATGTTAAAATCAGATAGTACAGAGATGAAGCTGGTTGCCATCATCAATATACCAAAAATTGTGTCTCATATCTCTTTTCTAACATATCTATATCCACACATAAGTATCATACTGGCACGGACATGTAAAAATCAGTGAGAGAAACTGATCTAATCTTTGAAAGTGTAATGGCATGTTTCAAAAGCAGTTGCAGGCAGATTTAGTTTTAACTAGTAAGACCTTTTAATCTAAATATTTCAAGATATTGGAGTTTAGTTAGATTCTGTGTATGCTAGGTATATAATATATACATATATTCTGAATTATTTTAAATCACGTGACCACATATTCTGTTGAATTCCAAAGCCTCACAGTTTGCATATAATGAAACTTCATGGAATCTGAGGTATTTGGATATGAACTGGTACTTATATTTACATTATGTTTTGATGTTGCTCTCCTCTTCCTTTTGGTGGGCTTAGGTTGTTTTTGGATGAAATCCCAAAGATATTGTGATGCTGAGTATTGTAAAGCCTAACTTAAAGCTTGCTCTCATTAGACAAATGGAGAATCTAGTGTTTCATACACCCAAACCCTACAAAATACCCCAGAAGACAGTGAGGTATCTTAACACTGGAGCCACAAAGCTTGCATGTGGTGTTGCTTAAAACAGATTATTTTTAGCTTTCTGTATTTCACTATTTAAAAAATAAGCCGAGAAAAAATCTCTACCTACTTTTCAACAGTGCTTTTAGGGTGGTACTTATCTTAATTTAAGATTTATGATATTGAGTAATTCCTCAAATGAAGAACATGTAAAATAGAGTTCATTCTCTTCTAAATAACAGGAGAGAAATTTGGATGCCAGTAACAGCCACTGAATGAAAATCAAAAATTGCCCTCAAAGCAGAAAATGGAAACAAGGTCTTTTCCAAGTTCCCTGCCTTAAATTAAAGATAGGAAGTTACAATTCTTATGATTCCTTGGTCCAAAAAAAAAAAAATCTGCAAAGCAGAACAGCTCCTACAGAAGAATAAGGGAAATAGTCTTCTAATCTGGAATATTTTGCAGTCTGTGAATTTAAAATTTTCCTGGAGAAAATGGACACTATACTCAGTATGGGAATTTTCCTCTGGTAAAACAGGAGACAGAGGTTACATGTCTGCAAATATTGTGCAAAGGTGGTGGGGAGCAGCCAGAAGCTGTTACCTATTTTGAAGGAAAGGAGGGGTCTGCTACGTACGTGTTTGTCTCCTAGACATCTGATGACAGGACTGAATGCATCCAAAAAAGGGAACATCTCCTTTCTGAATCCACGCAGGATTTGAAGCAGATGTCCAGCCTTGCTGCCCTGTCAAGGCTGAAGCTTTTAATGACATGCACAGAAGCAGGATTTATTTAAAAATTATTTAGAATAATAAAAAGTAGGAGTCTAGTTCTTGCATTGTTGGTTGTCAGGTAAGGGTAGTTTTTTGGAATGAGAAATTTGGACTTAAGTGTCTAAATTCTGCTTACGCACTTTGTGAGTATCCACAAGGAAACTCTTGAATAACATTTTAAAGACGTTAATAAGAGATTAAAAAGGGGTTTTCTTATATGCAAGTATTTAAGACTGAACAGATGCATTAGCAAATGTTAAGTGACAAGAAAGATAGATTTCTAATTCACTTATTAATATGTGCTTCTTAAGCATCTTTCTATTTCAAAGGAAACAGTGATTGAATCCCTATATATTTAATTATCTCTATTTCAGCTCTAATTGTGTACTCACAAGCTTACATGCTTAATCTCACATTTGCAGTTGATTTGACACTTCCATCCAGGTAACTGGCAGCATTCAGAGGGATGGAGCTGCCTTTGTCCATGCTGCAATGTGACGATCTCAATGGAGGAGTTAGAATCCTGCTCAAACAACCCCTAGTTAGAGCAGGACGGGGGATACGTGTCACTCGCACCGTGCGAGTGTTCTCGGGCTGTCCCGTTGTCGCTAAGGCCGCGTTTCCTGTGCGCTCCCCAGGACGAGAGCGGCCTGTGCTTCCCGGCGCGGTGCAGCCACGAGCAGAGCTTCGCCTACCTGCTCGTGGACCCCTGCAAGCGGCACGTGCACAGCCTCTACCACAGCTTCGGCGCGGGCTGCGCGCGCCCCGGGCCCTGAGCGCGCAGCGGGGCCTCCTGCTTCCCTCTGCACGGGTCCAAGGAGGAGTCCCGGCCTTTCCTTAGGAGGAAGCATGTGTTCCTTGGTGTCACCAACTCTGCAGGGTTGCGTGTTTTATGGAGATGCTACTAGAGAATTAGCGAGGAAAAAAAAAAGTTCAAGTTTTGTAGGTTGTTTTAAGGCGTATTCTTAAGATGTTTGTGTGACTTTGCCCTCACGGCATTAGCAATAAAAGCCATTTTTTCTGCTCCTCTCGCCCCTGGTTTTGAACCACAAAAACTGGGAGGGGGTAGC